AAAATAGATTCATTGATCTAACTATTTAGAAATTGAGTAAGTACAACAAAGTTTATTTTACTTTTCCATATGTTTACATGCATATGCATAGGAAATGATGTCACACTCACTTAATATTTGTGTATCATTTTTATCCTTATAGGATATAGTCAGGATTCATCACAGTTTCAGTTAATTATGGTAGCTCATTCTTTTCTCAGAGAAATGTAGATCCTATTGGAAATGCAGTAAGCAGTTTAGCAAATTCATTTCTTTCATGCTCTTCTCCGGCTCTGAAATCCCCTCCCTTCTCTTCTGTACCTAGATAGATAAAATTTAGCTCAGTATCTTAGTTTTTATATACCATCCTTCAAGGCTCACTCAGACCATCTCTTCTCTACATTCTTCCCTGATTTTTTGAATATTTTTAAACCTTAAATTCAACATATTTGAGCTTTAATTATGTATCATCACTGTTCTTAAAAAGTTTGTCTTCTCACTACTGTAAAATTCATCAGTCCACAGAGAATCTCTTAATCATCTTTTAAATTCCTTCAAGTAGGCTACACATGTGTCATTATTGTTCTTAGATGCTGTTGAATCAGTTCTGGCTTGTAGTGACCCTATGTATGATGGAACAAAACATTGCCTGGTCCTGTGCTATCTTTACAATTGTTGCAGCCACTGTGTCAGTCCATCTCATTGAGGTCTTCCCCTTTCTCACTGACCCTCTACTTAATGAAGCATGATATTCTTCCCCAGGGATCAGTCCCTTCTGATAGCATGACCAAAGTACCAGAGACAAAGACTTGCCATTCTTAACTTCTAAGGAGCATCCTGCCTTTACTTCTTCCAAGACAGATCTGTTCATTCTTCTGGCAGTCCATTGTATTTACAGTATTCTTCACTACAATTTAAATGCATCATTTATTTCTTATTCATTATCTTACTCCTTATTCAAGTCATACTTACTTGTTATCCAGCTTCCACATGCATGTGAGGCTATTGAAAATACCATGGCTTGGGTCAGGCTCACCTTAATCTTCAGAGTGACATCTTTACTCTTTAACACTTTAAAGAGGTGTTTTGTGGCAGATTTTCCCAGTGCAATATGTCATTTGATTTTTTGACTGCTGTTTCCATGGGTGTTGATTGTAGATCTAAGTAGAATGAAATGCTTGGCAAGTTCAATCTTCTCTCCATTTATCATGAACTTGCTTATTGGTCCATTTTAAAGATATTTGTTTTCTTTATGTTGAGGTGTAATCCATATTGAAAACTGTAGTCTGTTATCTTCATCAGTAAGTGCTTCAAGTCTTCTTCACTTGCAGCAAGCAAGATTGTATCATCTGCATGTCGCAGTTTGTTAATGAGTCTTCCTCTAAACCTGATGCCACATTCCTCTTCATATAGTCTAGCTTCTAGGATTACTTCCTCAGCATACAGACTGAATAAATATGGTGAAAGGATACAAACTTGATGCCTGAACACCTTTCCTGATTTTTAAACCATTCAGTATCCTCTTATTTTGTATGAACAACTGCCTCTTGGTCTCTATACAGATTCCTGATGAGCACAAGTAAATGTTCTGGAATTTCCATTCTTCTCAGCATTACCCATAATATGATCCATGTAGTTGAATGCCTTTGTATAGTCAATAAAATACAGATAAACATCCTTCTGGTATTCTTTACTTTCAGCCAAGATCCATCTGACATCAGCAATGATATCCTTCATTCCATGTCGTCTTCTGCAACTGGCTTGAATTTCTGGTAGTTCCCTGGTGATATACTGCTATAACCGTTTTTTAATTATTTTCAACAAAATTTTATTGCATGTGATATTTGCTATGCACATACTGAGAACTTAAATACATGTCGATTGAGTAAATGAAAATGCTAATTCCTAAATCAAAGAAATAATGTGGTTCTTGAAGTTTTGATTAAATTGTAAATTGACACATACTAAGGACATAGGATCTAGGGATCAGCAGTCTCAATAAAATCTTCAGTATGCATAGCAGATCATCATGTCAATAATGTAAGAGTTTCTTAAAGTCTGATTTCAACTTAACTTACCCCTAATTTTAGAGCTCTACTTTATAATTGATATTTATATCTTTATTAATACACATAAAGAACAATGAATTTCTTTCTTTCTTTCTTTCTTTTTTTTTTTTTTTACTCAAATGTTAAGAATATCCTGGAACTCATGTCAAAGCACCTTCATGACAATTATCCTTTTTCCTTTGTGAAATAAGTACGTAAATATTATTACCTACCCGTCAGAGATAGATAAATTAAAATTCAATAAAGATGAATTTATCAAAGATTCTCCAGTCTCATAAAATTGCTAAAATAGGAAAAGAAAGAAAAAATCACTAATATCTTAATAATATTCTCATTAAGGCACTATGACCTTACCCAGATATTTGTTCTCAACAACTTGCCTTAAATTATATCAAGAGGCTACTAGCAACCTTTTTAAAGAACTAAGTATGACCACAAGTGCAATAGGTTGTAAAATATGTCCAAATTACCTAGCATCATAGAAGTTAGAAAACTTCATTAAACATGAAGATTAATCTAACCTCCCTGAGGTAAACTCTAAATTAGGTCTCAATATTTTTAGCATGTGGAATTTTAAGTTCTTACTCTCATCTTGAAACAAATGTATATTGCTACTGTTAAGTACTTTCCTAAAAGAACCTCCATTTTTAAAGTTCTCAACTTTGCTCACTTTTATCTTTCTTTTTGGCTGGAGGCTGACAGGACGATGAGGTTAGTTTCTTTGATTAGAGGCCACACTTCATTTTATGTCAAATAAACCCAAACCAACTCACTGCCATGAAGTCGGATCTGACTCATAGCAACCCCTCCTTGGGTTTCTTTGGCAGCATCACTACAGAAGTAGATTGCCCGGCCTTCCTTCTGAAGAGTGGCTGGTGGGTTTGAACCACTAGCCTTCTAGTTAGCAGTCAAATGCCTTAGGCACTATGCTGACAGAGTTCCTAAGTCAAATATATATATATATATATATAATATTATGAAACAACATGGGAACCAGGGAAGGAGGAAACATCCAGTGTATTTGTCATGTTGAAGCACTAAAACACAGACTTTGATATTTATTTGGGCCTAGACCCTTCAGAAATAGTATAGGCTTTATAAAAGCTTTTCCCAGTGTTGTGGTTACTCAATAAGTTACAACTTTTATAGAATGTAATGATTTTTTAATATTTTTTTGAGAGTCTAATTTCTTCATAGCTTTCTTTTCCCATAATCAGAATTTAAGGCAGCTAAGACTTTGTTGAGGAGCCCTGGTGGTGCATTGGTTAAATGCTCAGCTGCTAAGCAAAAGGTTGGTGGTTCAAACCCACCAGCTGCTCCACAGGAGGAAGATGTGATAGTCTGCTTCGATAAAGATTTACAGGCTTGGAAATCCTGTGGAGCAGTTCTGCTCTATCCTGTAGGATCACTATGAGTCAAAATCAACTTGATAGCAGTGGGTTTTGTTTTGTTTTTTGGAGTCTTTGTTAAGATTTCTTACTCATGCTGTTTTCTAAACCAATGACTTCATTTATATGAGTGCAGTTTTCTTATTTGCAGAGTAATATGTAACTTCAGGGAGCTCTGGTAGCATAGTGCCTAAAGCACTTGACTGCTAACCAGAAGGTTGGCGGTTCAAACCCGCCAGCCACTCCTTGGAAGGAAGATGGGGCAATCTACTTCCGTAGTGATACTGCCTTGGAAACCCAAGGAGGGGTCGCTATGAGTCAGGTCCGACTTGACAGCATATAACAACAACAACAATGTAACTTCTAATTTCTCCAATATGTCTTCTGAGATGGTGTAAACTTTTTCAAGCCCTCTATGTCCCAAAAGTCTATTAACTTGAGTAAAAAAGTCTTATGTTACCATTTCCCCTTTTAGTTCATCTTCCTCTTTCCTTCTGCTTTTATAAGCACTTTCCCTATAGATA